CAGCAGCTAGAATTTGGTAGCACACTTTCTCCCTTTAACTCACAAGAAGTCTGGCTGCCAAGGTGGAAACAGGCCTTGGAGGGCAGGGAGTGGCATCTGCGGGGGCAATCCCAGGAGGCGTCTTTAATCACCTACGGGTGGCTGTAAAGGTGGAAACCGTCCCCATCTCCGAAGCTAGACTGGGACAAGTGGAAACGATCCATGACATTCGGGTGCGGGTCACCACTTGTTTTATTTTAAACTCCACTCCAAACAAGCAAGCTATTCTTGAGATGAAGGCCAGGCACAGGAAAGCGGATTGTGAGCGTCCTCCCATAAAAGAACAAACTTTACTATCTTAGTAAAACTCTCCTCTCCGAAAATACCACAGTCCACCAGTGTTCAATTTGGCAGCCTTAATCTAGGAGGGCTCCATCAGAACAAGGCATGCTTTGTGGGCACATGGGTGGAATTCACAGCAGGTGAGTGAGCACAACTTTCCATGCAAGAGCTCCTTCTCTAAACAGAAGCATTACAGTGGAGAGCTCCGAACTCTAATCTAGGAGGGCTCCATCAGAACAAGGCATGCTTTGTGGGCAACATGGGTGGAATTCACAGCAGGTGAGTGAGCACAACTTTCCATGCAAGAGCTCCTTCTCTAAACAGAAGCATTACAGTGGAGAGCTCCGAACTCAAGACAGAGGTCTGTTGTCGTGCTGCCTGCTGCTCACAAGGGCTTCTGGAGGCAAAGGGGGCTGTGGCAGCAGCTCAAGAAATACCTACCAAGTCAGTCTCTGGCTGCTCATCCGGGGCCCAACCTCTTTGCCCAGAAAAAAGATTCCGTGTCTCTGTCATTAAAGTCCTACTGCAGAAGCTGAAAACTTCATGGTAAGTAAGAACAGAGAGCTGTGATACAGCTCACAGGAAAGAAGTAAGTGAAATCCGAGGAAAAATCAACAGCAAGCAGAAAGAGACCACAGAGCTGCTTCAAAAATGACCGGGGGGGGGGGGGGGGGGGGGGGGGGACGACAACCTGACCATAGATCTCCATAGGTAGCAATCACACATCTTGTTTTAGTGCAGGTATACAGGCTGAAGCCTGTTGTAGCTTTCCAGTGCACGCATACAAGGCAAAATGGTGGTAACACGGGGATGTATACAGGGAACACATACCCTTTTCTATTTGGGTGCGTTCAGACGGGGTTGGAACCGGTGCAGTTTATGCCGGCAGAAACGCGATCAGACTCACCCTCCTGTCTGCGGAGCCCTCCGGTGGACGCCCGCTCACACGCTGCGGGCGTCGGCGTTTTTTTTTTAAAGGACTGTTTGAGCATGCGCACAGGCAGCCATTCAGAGAATGGCGATTTTTGCGCATGCTCAACCCCCCCCCCCTTACATTTAAACTTTAAAGGTAAGCACTTACCTTTAAAGTTTAAAGCCCAACCTGGCCTCGTTTCAGTCCCGGACTCCTCCGGGACGGTAAAGTAAGGGCTTTTTTTCCTTCTTCACAAACGCTCGGGGCAAAGCTTCGCCCGAGCGCATATCGCTTAGAGTTTTAAAAAATGGCGGGGGAAAGCCGGAAGCCTCAGGCTTCCGACGGAAGTGGCTAGGCACCGGTGGAGAGCGATCAGACGCCGGTTTGTATCGGAAGCCACCGTTGCACTCTGTTTACCACCACTTGGGACCTAGTGGCAGAGTACAACGGTGTAAACGGCTTTGTAACGGTTAGGGACGGGAGGCAGATGTTCGCCATGTGAACGCCAGTAAGTACACCGGTTGGAATCGTCACCTATTCCGTTACAAATGTCGCGTCTGAACGCACCCTCTATGTAAGAAATCTGGCAAATTAACTCCACATGTGTAACAGTCCATTCTGACAGTGCTAGAATGTTCCCAGAGGCTGTTAAACACTGTGGCTTCCAGAGTCATACGACAGAAATAGAACTAGATCTGCAACAACACAAGGAGGTGTGCATTGCCCTTCCCACACTGACCAACACTGCCTACGAAAAGCTGCATGTATGATGAAGCCCTTCAAACAGCAAGGCAGAATCCAACTAATCCTTTTCTGCACAGATCCATATCCTTGCTTTTCACTCTGTTGCAACAGTGGTCTCATCATGAATTTTTCCTACATTAGTCCAGCGAAAAGAAGAATCTCCGAATTTGGCACTGATGGCTTCTTACGAGTTCCCCGTAGTGCTTCACATTCTTCTTGCTGAGTGTGAAGAGTGAGCGCAATAGAGAACTCATACTTAGAAGCCAAGTGGGAACGAATTCTGAGATTCAGCTCATTTTGACACAACGCTTTCAGTTGGCCAAACCAAACCACACAATGTCAGCAGCGCTTCCTAGCTGGAGAAGCTTCTCACAAGTCGGAAAACACTTGGACTTTGTCTCAGGGTGGGGGCGGTGTAATTACTAATTTATATACTTCATACTGTTCATGCTGCATCCCCAGCTGAAATTAGCTGATTTAACTGCTTTTCATGGTGGATTCACGACCACAAGACTTTCTTCAGATTCTCTTAACTGTCTCCCACTCACCATTCATGGCCCATTACTAGCAGCAGAACTCTGTACTATTAATAATTTTCTTCAACATATTTAGATGGACAGTGGCAAGCAACAAAAAATATTAATGCCCCTCTCTCAGTCATACCACCATGCATTGGCTGTCTCTTCCCTTGATGTGAAATAGTACAGCACAGTATTGTGGCAACACATTAAGTGCAACAAACAAACAAAGAGTCACCATAATCTCATTGGGCAACGACAGTGCTGGAAGTTACACGGAACCAGAAAGACTATTTCTTTAACCAAATAGTTTTGCTGCCCTTCATAATCAGCCAAAGCAAAACAGCCCCCAGCTCCACTGAATTGTTACTTCCTCATTTCAGGTTTCAAAGGATTCCAGCTTCCCTTTTTACCTGTCATCCTAATTCTGGACCAGGGCTCTGTGTGCCTTTATCCTATTCAGCCGAGAAATTGCTTAAGGATATGAATTTAGCAGAATACACTCATACCCAAACTTAGTAATTGTGTAGGAAATTTTTTAAAATCAGTTATAGGAAACACTTTTAAAATTCAGGGCTCATTTAGCACTTCTTTAGCAGCTAGCTTGGAATACCTGACGGCTTCGCGACTGAGTGAGGATTTCGACACCGGTTTTCTTGACCAAAGTCCAACACCGTTCTAAATTTGTCTATCCTTAGGAGCGCCTTCTCTCAAGTATTTCTGCCCATCAGTTAGGGAGACTATCCCCTGGAGACGAAGAGAGCGGCAGAACAAGGCCTCCTCAGTGGCTGTCCCGATCATGGGCTCTTGCCATCCAGGAGGAAGCCCGTCTCACAGCTGCGAGTGAGTGCCGTTCAATCTTCTACATCTTGGCTGTCTGAGGGGGGCACAGCAGCCCCATGGCCAGTTCATTTTGTTTCCTTATGTTTATGGCCACACTGCACATTGTTGAATTTGGACTGGGTGTGTATGTGTATTGGGGGGGGGGCAATTTTTGTATTGTGATTAACTAGGGTTCCCAGATGGCTTTTTTTTTTTTTTGGTCTGTCCTCTTTTGGGCTCTTTAAAAAAAATGTTTAAAATGTCCCCTTTGGTGGCTGGAAGATTTAGGAGTACTCCCAGTTAGCAGCAATGATCACAGCTTATTGTAGCAGGAGGGGGGGTATCTAAAATGAGATTCGCCATCACCGCGATCGCTTGTTTGAAATGGCCGCCAGTGTTCCCTCTAAGCTGAGTCATTGTGAGCCAGCTCACAGTTTTTTAGCCTCCGGCTCACACATTTTTGTCTCGGCTCAGGAAGGAGGGCTCCAGAGCAAACTAATTGATGCCGCAGCCGAATCGCTGGCTCACAACTTTAATGCCGGTAGCTCACAAAGTGGAATCTTCGCTCACGGGCCTCCACAGCTGAGAGGGGAGCCTTGGTGGTCAGCAATGTTCCCTCTAAGCTGTGGGGTCTTGTGAGCAAAAATTGTAATTTGTGAGCTACCGGCATTAAAGTTGTGAGCGAGTGATTCGGCTGCGGCATCAATTAGTTTGTTCTGGAGCCCTCCTTCCTGAGCTGAGACAAAAATGTGTGAGTCGGAGGCTAAAAAAACTGTGAGCTGGCTCACACTGACTCAGCTTAGAGGGAACACTGGTGGTCAGTCGGGACTCGGGAAACGTGTCCTCCTTTTTGCTTTTCGATAGCGGGTCGCCCTAGCTGGGTTAAGCGCCGCTCGCTCGCTCGCTCCCTCCTTGCCTGCCTGGCGGCCGGACCGGGCTGGACTCACCGTTGGAGAGCGCCTGCTGGAGCTCGCTGTCCGAGATGACGCCGCTGCGGTCCTTGTCCACCCTGAGGAGAGACACCGACACGTTGCTATGGCGACGGCGCGCGGACACGGAGCCCGACGCGCCGCCCGTTCAACCGCCGCTCCCAGAATCCCGCGGCGGCGGCGGCGGGGCGCGAGGACCGGGGGGGGGGGGGGGGGGGGCGGGGCGGGGGGGGCGC